GATATTTGGAATCTCGCTTTGTCGCCCAGGCTCCAGTGCAGTGGTGTGATCACAGCTCACTGCAGTATTTTTGTAGAGATGAGGTCTCACTGTGTTGCCCAGGCTGAGATCAAACTCCTGGGCTCAAGCAATCCTTCCGCCTTGGCATCCCAAAGTGCTAGGATTACAGGCGTGAGCCACCACACCCAGCCATATTTGTACTCTTCATATAAACATCTTGGATTTGATTTTAAGTAGTTTCACTGTGTTTATGTACTAACAGGTTGCTCTCAAGGGAGTGGCATTTTACATTACGCTCACGGCGACAGTCAGCAAACTCACCTATTGAAGCAAGGTAAGAATGAAGCATTTGAGCATACTACTCTCTTCACTTTTCCTATCCTAAATGTACATTTTTTAAATGCATAGGAAGAAGCTCCGTGGGCACTGGTCTCAGTGGTGGGAAACGTCCTAGTCAGGAAGAGGACCCGCAGAGTATCGGTCCTAAAGTCCAGAGACAGAGCACTAATTAGGTAAATAATTTAGAGCTTTACATCTTGCTTTAGTGGAGTGTGTAATAAATATAAATTAAGATAGTTTCCAAAATGTAGCTAATCTCTACTTTCAAACCAGAGGATTTTGAGGCATAAATTGTTAAGCATTTGTTACAAAATCAGCTTAATTTTTGGATAAGAGAGATGCATCTGTACTGGACAAATTGCTGTACTCAGTTTTATGGTCATCTGAATTGATCTTTAAATATGAAAAGCTTATGATTTTGTGGTCAAGTTTTTTCTTAGAAAAAGGCAGTGTTTTCACTTTCTTACTATGTGACCATGAGTCTAAAACAATTTCAATGGCCTTTTTATTTTGGTGGCATTAATATAATCTTTTTATGAACTTCCCCCCAAGTCCTTGCCTCTTAAATGTTTATGAATTTATTTTATCTGTCGTGATACTTCTAAAATCCAAATTATTTCCAGTTTGGGAATAGTTTAAATTTGTTAAAATGCTGGCCCTTTTTAGAAGTATCAAAATTTATACCTACATTCAATTGAATTGGGTTTGGGATACTATTTTTTGTGTGTGTATGATTTAAAATAATATAAAATATATTTATACAGTGCATTTGCCAGTTTTTAAAAATTTTTTGTTTCTTTAGTTATCTTAAAGTGTTTATACTTCTATTGCTTATTTTTTATGCCAGCCATTAGACTATAAATATTTTAAAGATAAGACCAGTAAACACTCAATTTTTTATCATTAAATTATTTGCAATCAAGCTTTACCCAGTTTTCCTCCCTCCTTAAATCACAGAAAACATTCAGGAGGAATGCTGTTCCAGCTGAAATTGGTGGGGAGTTCAATACTTTACAATTAAATTATTTAAAAATGTTCTTCATTAATGGAAAGCAGTTACATTTTGAAATGCATTGTTTCTAATGATATTTCTGTGGTTTTTAACTTTTTAATGAATTTCACACAGCACAAATGGTAATTTGTATATAAAGGACTTGGTAAAAGAATTTGCTTAATGTAAATATAGTCACAATTAGTATAGACCCATCAATATATTTTTGATAATTTTTCATGTATGGTAAAAGTTAACAAATTGATATTCTGATATAAAACTCAAAGTTTTGAGAGTCAATATGAGAAAGCAGGAGGTTTTTAGACTTTCTTAAAAGACTTTGTTAAAATTTTGGGACGAAATTTTGCCTTATGTTGTTTGATCTAACTTTGCCCTCTTTGATAATAGTGTTTTAGAAAATGTGCATAATAAAATTGGTAGTTGTGGCCTCTGTTAACACAAACAATATATGTTTCAAAGCTTTATGTAAACCTGTTCTGACCCAAACTTGTGGAAATGTCATGTGTTAAGTTCTCCTTGTCTCCCTTTCTTTGTTCATTTATAGCTAAAGTAATATTGTTATTAAAGTAAATGCAAATATGAAATCTTGTGTGCTTTTGGGGTTTTCTTCTTTTTTTGTTGTTGTTTTTGGTAAGGTAGAAAACATAGTTGTGTGAGATCTGATTACAAATCACAGAGACAAATTCCATAAACCACACATATCACAATTTTGAATGAAGGAACAGCTGCCATATATTTATAAAACAGAATTTTTCTAAGTTATCTGCAAGAAACATTTAAAATCAAAAGGTTTTTTTTTTAAATTTTTATTTTTCCAAGTAATGGCACTTACAACAACGAATCAGGCAGTATTGGATAACGTTATGAATGAGGGCTCTGGAGTCAGATACCTGGTTCTGCCACTCATTAGCTTTGAGATCTTAGGCAAGTTCCTAACTTTCTATGCCTTCTTGTTTCTCATCTACTAGATGGGGATGAGAGTGGTATCTGCTTTGCAGTCCAGTTCCATGTATATTGCTCACAGCAGCGCCTAGCATGTGGTAAGCTACTCAGTACGTGTTAGCTACAGAGCTGCCATGCTGTGCTGCTCCCTGGAGGGTACAGTGCACAGTCTGCAGCTGTATGCCACAGCTCTGGTTAGCTGCCATTATTATTATTGTCCCTTTACTGTTCTCTAGTAAGCTGACTTTTGCCATTCTGAATTATAACCAGTGGCTTTTCATTTTCCCATCTTCAATAATGAGAGGTATTTCATATGATGAGTGTATTTAAAGATAGCTGGAGATGAATTTGAGTCAAAAATGTGGAAGCAATAGCATTTAAATGATAGGCATTTTAAAAAATATCCTGGGTAATAAATTAGCAATGAGCAACAAAGTCCATGGAGAAGCAGCAGCAACAGCCGCTGCTACCACCTGTGCCTTATTTTTCTCTTCTCATCTTAAAAAGGAGTCATATTTTGCTCTTCCTGATACCTGTACTTCACATCCTATTTGGACCTGTGTACAGTTAAGAAATCCATAGACCTGGGAATTACCATCACCATCAGTTTTAAGATGAATAAATAAGCATTTCCATAAAAGCATTATTCCAGCAATAATATGTCCTGGCATATCACTTATAAACGTAAGGGGATTTTGTTTTGCCTTTTTAGGGGGGCTTCTGGAATGAGTTTGGTCTAAATTGTGGTCCCAACGAATCACTGAAAGGGAAGTATCAGTCAGTGTGCGCCACTTGAAGAGAGGTGCACTGTGTTTGAATACAGTATTCTCCCCCTAACAGGAAGGGTTAATGTTCTAGAAATCTTACCAGTGGTTGAGGGATTTAAGACCTTTTTTTCATTCAGCAAATAATTCTTGAATTCTTATTACCAAAAACTGCTGACAACGTGGAAAAATTGAATTGAAATAGCCAAACTTTTGAATGAACCATGCAAAGTCCTTATGTTTTTCACCTTTGCTTAAAATAGTAAATCTGAGGTATAAAAGGCTGATTGCTTACTTTTGAATGCATCTCTTACACACTGGAAACTTGAGAATCTTCTCACAATTCAAACATGTTTGTAATTTTCTTTTACGTATCATGCATGATGGTAGTTTCATGCCCTCTTTCTCCCTTCAAGGATTTTCTCAGATTGTATGGTCCTAGAAATGCACTGTTTATAAATATTTGGGATAGAAAAAACTTTGAGTTGCATTTATTTAGCACAGCTGGCTTAGCTAAGTTGGTCAGTGTCCAGTTTTTTGCCATCCATGTTTTGTTTTCTTATCCTTGATGCAGAACTAAATTGTCAAGTTATGATTACAGTCTGCAGGGTTCTAGGTGGTCATTCCTCACACAGTTACATGGAGGCCTAGTACGAGCCGCCAGCACCTTGGTGCACCTTTCTGCTCCCTCCTTCCTGACTACGATGGCAGCTTGTCATTCTAAGTCCTGAGTTTACTACATTACATGACTTCCTTCTTTTTTCTGTATCCTACTCTAATTACCTCTTCCTAAATGCAAGTGATTCAGGAAAAAGTATGCAATAAATCCATGAATTTGGCTAATGTTTCCTGAGTTCCTACTGTATGCCAACCATTATTCACAGAAAAATAAGTATCCACAATAGGGGTTTTTCTGTTTGGTTTGGGTTTGGGTTTTGAGTCAGAGCCTCACTGTCACCCAGGCTGGAGTGCAGTCGCATGCTCACAGCTACCGCAGGCTCAGCCTGCTGGGCTCACGTGGTCCTTCCACCTCAGCCTTCCAAGTGGCCAGAATCACAGGCACATGCCACCAGATCCGGCTAGTTTTTTGATTTATTGTAGACCAGGTCCCACCAGGTTGCCCAGGCTGGTCTTGAACTCCTAGGCTCAGGCAGTCCTCTCATCTCTGCCTCCCAAAATGCTGGAATTATAGGTGTGAGTCACCACACCCGGTCTACAGTTCTCATATAAGGATAACTCGGAGAGAGAAAGTTTACTGGACAGGCGTCCCCTACCTGTTTACATTAGCTGCTCAGGTGATTCTGAGATTATCCTAGAGGTCAGAGTTGATCTTGAGATAAGGAACCAGGATTCTTGCTGCTACCCTGAGGAGTTAAAAGTGATTTGGGGCTGGGTCGCGGTGGTTCAAGCCTGTAATCCCAGTACTTTGGGAGGCTGAGGTGAGGGGACTGCCTGAGCCCATGGGTTCGAGAACAGCCTGGGCAACTTGGCGAGACCTCACCTCTCCAATGAATCAAAAATTTAGCGGGTGTGGTAGTGCACGCCTGTAGTTCTGGCTACCTGGAAGGACGGAGGCGGAGGGGTCGCCTGAGCCCAGCAGGTGGACGCTTGGGTGGCCGTGAGCGTGCCGCTGCACGCCGGCCTGGGCGACGGAGTGAGACGCCACTCAGAAAAAATTAGAAAGAAAAAGAAAGGCCGGACTCGGTGACTCAGCCTGTGATCCCGGCGCTCCGCGAGGCCGAGGCGAGTGGGTTGCCTAGAGCCCGCGGGATCGAGACCCACCCGGGCAACTTGGCGAGACCTGACTCGACAATAAATAAAAAACTAGCGGGGCGTGGTGGCTGAGATGGAAGGATCGCCAGAGGCCGAGGCTGCTGGGAGCACGTCACGGCCCTCCAATCTGGGCGACGGAGTGAGACTCCACTGAAAAAATAAAAAGGAATGTAAACCACTTGGCATTCCATTAGCAAAGGGATAGGCGGCAGGGAGGGGGGGAAAGGAATGGCTCCTAAAGACGAGTCACGCGGGGTCGCCGGCAGCTGGAAGGTCAGGCATGTCTCAAAGCACTCTGGGGTTTTTCCTTAAGACGTCTATGTCGTAAGTTGGTTCTTTACCGACTGGATTGTCTGGGGACTTCTGATCGGCTCTGCCTTAAAGACATGGCGGTTTCTGAGGACTTCTACCTGTCCCCTTCCGAGGGAGCGATATTTTCCAAGGGGCAAGGCGACTGGGACCCCAAGCCTCCTCAAGTGCTGGCAAGGAAAGGCTGTGAAAACGCCGGAAGCGGTCGCCGTTGACACCAGGCGCGGCGGGCCGGCGA